GATGGCACTTAACAACAACAACAACAACAACAACAACAAAAATGGGAAGAATGTATTGTTAAATGCAGAAAATGTGTGTCAGTCCCACTGATTTCTTGCTCTTTTAAAGGAGTCATTGTATATGGCTTTCTTGTTCTTATCGTTTGCTCAGAATTACAGTACTATTCTTTTTAGTGTCGTAGTAGATATCTGTGGTTTGTTAGGTGCCAATGAGTCAGTTTCAACTCACAGCCTCCCAGTGTATAACGGAAAGAAACACAACTTGCTCTTGCACCATCCTCATAATCATTGTTATGCTTGAGCCCATTGGTATAGCTACTGTATCAATTAATATATTTCAGGGTCTTCATTTTTTTCATTGGCCTTCCACTTGACCAAGTATGGTGCCATTCTTCAGGGACTGGTCCCTCTTGATAGCTTGACCCAAGTACTTATGACAAAGTTTCCCAGTCCTTTCTTGTAAGGAGCATTCTACCTCTACTTTTTCTGAGATTGATTTGTTCATTCTTCTGGCAGTCCGTGGTATATTCAATATTCTTCACAACACCATAATTAAAGGCATCAGTTCTTCTTGTTGTTATTGTATGCCATCGAGTGGTTTTGTATTGGCTTTTTGAGAGCGGCTGGTGGGTTCACACTGGTGACCTTGCATTTACCATTTCAGTAACCTACAGTGCCACACTAGGGCTGCTTCTCAATTCTTGTTGTGGTCATTTTTAGTCTGGACTCACTGTTGTTGTTTTGAAGTGCTGTAGAGTGAATTCTGACTCACAGTGATCATTTATTTATAGTGTTTCCAAGGAGCAGCTGGTGGGTTTGAACTACCAACCTTGCAGTTAACAGTCCAGTGCTTACCCTACAGCTCCACACTAGGATTTAGGTCTTCTTTATTCATTGTCCAGCTTTCATATGTAGACAAGGAAATTGAAAATACCAGGGCTTGGGTTAATGAAGTCCTCAAAATGATATCTTTTGCTTTTTAACGTTTTAAAGAGGTCTCCAATGTAATGTTTCCATGAGTGTTGACTGTGGATTTAAGTAAAATGAAATCTTTGATGCAATGTTAATCTTTTCTCTATTTATCATGATGTTGCTTATTGGTCCAGTGGTGAAGAGTTTTGTTTCCTTTATGTTGAGGTATAATCTCTGTAGGCTGTAGTTTTGATTTTCATCTGTACATTCTTCAAGTCTCCTGTGCTTTCAGCAAACAAGGTTATTAATTTTGTAGGTTGCTAATGAGTCTTGGCAGTAGAAAGATGAGGCTTTCTGCTCCCACAAAGATTTACAGCCTTGGAAACCTTCTATAGGGTCGCTCTGAGTTGGAACCGACTCCACCGCACACCACCACCACCAACGAACGATTCTTCATCCAATCCTGATGCCGCATTCTTCTTTATACACGAAGGAGCTTCAAAAAGTTCATAGAAAAAATCCATTATCTTTTAATTCCACTTTTCTATGAATTTTTTGAACCTGCGGATATACTCCAGCTTCTCAAATGATTTGCTTATTCAATAAGCACATACACTGAACAAATACGGTGAAAGGATACAACACTGGCTCACACCTATCTTGATTTTAAACCACACGGTATTTCTTGTTCTGTGGTCTCTGTACAGGTTACTCATGAGTAGGATTATGTGCTCTGTAATTCCCATTCTTTGCAATGTCATCCATAATTTGTTTTCATCAACACAGTCAAATGGATTTGCAAAGTCATAAAGGACAAGTAAATATCTTTCAGTATTGCCTGCTTTAAGACAAGATCTATGTGACATTACCAATGACATCTCATTCCATACCCTCTTCTGAATCTGGCTTGAATTTCTGGCAATTTCTTGTTGATAAACCACACAACTGCTTTTTAATAATCTACTTGTATTTGATTAGGTAGCTATCTCCCAAACTTCTTGGTATATGAGTGAGCACCTGCAGCACTGCATCCATGTATTAAAACATTTCTAATAGTATTCCATCAATTTCTGAGCCTTGTTTGTCAGTGCCTTAACTGCAGTTTGTCTCTTCCTTCAATACCGACAGTTCTTGAACATATGCTTTTTCTGTGTTTCCTCTCTTCTGTTGTCGCTTCCTGCATTGTTCAATATCCCCCCCCAACCCCAATCCTTCAACAGGGCTTGGGCAAAATAAGCTTGACATTTTTCTTCAGTTCTTTCAGCTTCAGAAATGTCCAGCATGTTCCTCCTTTTGGCTTTCTAACTGCAGATCTTTGCACATTTTCTTTCAATACTTTGTCTTCTCAAGCTGCCTTTTGAAATCTTTTGCCCAGTTTTTTTTTAACTTCACCATTTCTTCCCGTTGCTTTAGCTTCTCTGTGTTTAGGAGAAGTTTCCCATCTACTTTGTTATTTTCTTTCTTTCCTGTTTTTTCAATGACCTTTTCCTTTCTTCACATATGATGTCCTTTATGTAATCCCACAATTCTTCTGGTGTTATGCCACTGTTGTTTAATGAATCAAATATATTCTTGAGATGGTTTCTAAATTTAGATGAGATATATTCAAGGTTGTAATTTGGCTTTCATGTACTTGTTTTAATTTTCTTTAGCTTCAGCCTGAACTTGCATATGAACAATTGATGGTCTGTTCCACAGTTTGTCCTGACTGATGATATTGTATGTCTCCATTGTCTCTTTCCACGGATGTAGTCAATTTGATTCCGGTGTATTCTATCCAGTCAGTTCCATATATATGGTGGTGGTGGTGGAGTGCCATGGAGTCAGTTCCGACTTATAGCGACCCTGTATAGGGTTTCCGAGGCTGTAAATCTTTACAGAAGCAGAAGGTCTCATCTTTCTCCCGTGGAACAGCTGGGAGTTTCGAACTGTTGACCTTGAGGCTAGCAGCCTGACTCGTAACCACTATGTTACTAGAGTTCCTTGTCCATATGTCTAGCCACCACTAATGTTGCTGAAAAGGTATTTAAAATGAATAAGTCATTGATCTTACAATATTCTAACATGTGATCTTTGGAATCATGTCTATCACCAAGGCATTATTTTCCAAATGCTGATCCCTCTTTGTTTCCAATTTTTATATTCCAATCACTAGTAATTATCAATACACCTTGATTATATGTTTGATCAATTTCAGACTGCAGAAGCTGATAAAATTCTTTAATTTCTTCATTTTTGGCAGTAGTGTTTGGTAGGTAAAATTGAATAATAGTCATAAGTCATATGTGTATGGATATTACTCTATCACTTTGGGATTGATCTATCTATCTATCTATCTATCTATCTATCTATCTATCTATCTATCTATCTATCTATCTATCTGTAAAACAATTAATGCAATGCCATTCCGCTTCAATTAGTCATTCCTGACAGAGTAAATCATATGATTATCAGATTCAAAATGGCAATTCCAGTCCATTTCAGCTCACTAATACTTAGGATATTGACCATCATGTGTTCCATTTCGTTCTTTACAACTTCCAATTTTCCTAAATTCACACTTTGTACATTCCATATTCCATTTATTAATGGATGTTTGCAGTTGTTTCTCCTTATTTTGAGCCATACCACGTCAGCAAATGAAGGTCTCCAAAGTTTGCTCTATTTATGTCATTACGGTTGACTCTACTTTGAGAAGTCAGCTCTTTCTCAGTTGTATTTTGACTGCCTTCCAACCTGAGGGTCTCATTTTCCCACTATATCAGACAATGTTCCACTGCTATTCATAGTGTTTTCATTGGTCAAATGTTTTCAGAAGTAGAAAAAATTGTCAAGTCCTTCTTTCTAATCTGTTTTTTTTTCCTGGAAGCTTCCCTGAAATCTGTCCACCATCAGTGACTGTATTTGAAATACTGGTGGCACGCCAACCACACTATGACAAACTGGCAGATGAGTAGTCTATCTGTGGTTTATTAACTAAAATAAAATTTCATTTTCAGTGTTACATTTATATACTCAAAGTTGAATTGGACAGCTTCATTTCACACTGTCCATCAAGAATTCTTATTTATCTTTGCCTTAGCTACGGACCTAAATACTGTCTGACCTCGTATAATAGTAAAGCATTTTTATGTGGGCTCATCCTTCTTTCTCAATGGGACACCTTTTGGTCATAGATAGCATCTCTATGACTCCTTTGGTCATTATGTATTAATCAGATGCTTCCGTTTCATGCTTCACTTACAGATGATTTAGTCTATGGATACTACAAGTACAAAAATCTCAATTTCTATTCTTCATAATTCCATTGGGACTGTCATTTTTTTGTTTGTTTGTTGGGACTGTCATTTTTGAAGTTCTTTTCCCACCACAGTTATAAGCCTACAACCTAAGGGAATGGGGAATGAGAGACTTTTGTGTTTGGCTTTGCCTTTTGGTTTGGTTACCCAGAGATTCTGCACCATGGAGGAATTCAGGAATTTGCTATGGTAAGAGACACTGTATTAGTTTAATGAATGAATTATAGACCTATAATGAACATTATTCACAGCTATGGACTCAAACATGCAACAAACATGACGATGGAACAGGTTCAAGGCAGCGTTTGGCTCTGTTATAGAGAAGGTCACCATGAGTCCAGGCCACCTTGATGGCAAGAAATAATAACAACAATGACAACAAGTGAAAAGATGGGAAGGTAACCTTTTAAGGAAATAAATACAACCTTTGCTAGTTAGATAGTTTTTTGTACAACCCTAATTCACAAAACACTAAAATGTAGAGAACCTACATGCATTTTTGTATGTTCCTCTACTTACTCATGGGGGATGCGAGACAGACACTTATTGTCTACTTATTACTTGTCATTTTAGAGATGAAGACACCTAAGACTGAAGAGACTTTAAGTAACTGGTTCCATTCACACAACTAGTAAGTGACTGAGGCATGGTGACTCACATTTTTGAATCATTACATAGGGAGTTGGCAATGGCACTTGAAACATTTGCCACACCTGGAAACCATTTGACAACACAATTTGATAATGTCTTCTCAAAATCCAATATTAAAAAATATACTTTTTAACTTACAGCTTATGGTTATTCCCAGTTCCACATTGTGCTTCTTAGGTAGCTTTACATGAAACGTTCCACTACTTGGGATGACAGACTCTGTAATTTCAAACAAAAGAGAGTGTGTTTATAGAGGCCCAAGAAGACTATAAAGGGGTTCTAGTAGTGTACTGGGTTACAAGTTGGGCTCCTAACTGCAAGGTCAGTAGTACGAGTCTACCAGTCGCTCCTCGGGAGAAAGATGAGGTTTTCTGCTCCTGTAAAGATTTACACTCTCAGAAATCATAAATAAGGTCACTACGAGTTGGAAGCGACTCCATAGCACACAACAAGCACCATTATCAAGAAGGATATGTTGTTGTTTTTGTTATGTGCCGGGGAGTTCGTTTCGACTCATAGCCACCCTGTACATCTTTACGGCTGTAAATCTTTATGGGAGCAGAAAGCCTCATCTTTCTCCTGCAGAACAGCTGATAGTTTCGAACTGCTGACTCTGAGATTAGCAGCCTGATTCGTAATGACTACACTACCAGAGCCTTAAGAAGGATATAGCACCAATTAATGAAAGTGTACTAGGAATACATTCTTCATAATCATTTGTAATTAAAAGGGCAGGAATTGAAGTATAGTGACTTTCTGTAAAATCCTAGTATACTACATTCATGGTGATGAATATATGACCCACACATAGGCAACTATGCACAATTCACAGCAATAGTAGAGTTCAGTATTTCTTAGGTGTGATTCAACATTACCTGGGATGCAAGTAAGGAGGAGATTCCAGAACCATCTCAGATCTGTGGAATCAGACTTCCTGATGATAGTGAGGGAATCTGCATTATTACATGTTCTGCAGTTAATTATTATGGAAAGTAAAGCTTAAGAACCACAGGTAGGTTATTTTCTTTCTTCCATAGCTATATATATTTTCTCATAATTTACTATTCAGCATATGTTTGTTTTTTTTTTCATCTGATGTTTGAAGGTAAGGATATCATGTTTGGTAAGGTGGAGGGTCAGAGAAAAAGAGGAAGATCTCCCAATGAGATAGATTAGCCAAGTGGCAGAATCGATGGACTCAAGTGTGGCAACAGTAGTGAGGATGGCCCAGGATCATGCAGTGTTTCCTTCTGTTGTTCATAAGACAGCTATGGGTTGGTACCGACTCGATGACACCTAACAACAACAACAACAAGGAGGAGTAGATTTCAGGAGAGTTGTGTAGATTTCAGATTGTTGTGATGGTTACTGGTTTGAGGTTTGTGTGTATGAAACATACATATGTATGTTTCACTGGTTTTTCTTCTCTAGAAAACCTGGCCTAAGACAAGGCCCCAAGGTCTCTTGAGTACCAAGGACCCCTGAGTTTGTGGAGGTCTCACAGTTTTCAAGGAGAATCAGGGGGCAGACAGCACTAATGTTGGATGAAGGTAGACTCAGATACTGACCAACCAATACAGCAAAGCAGAAGGAACCAGTGTGTACTGGCTGAATTTCAATCCTGTAAAGAACTAAGCTGATTTGATTTGACTAGTATTTGAGAAAGCAAGGGGAATTGCTACCAGTTACTAGTTGCCTTTGAGTTGATTTCCACTCATGGTAACACACATATATCTGAGTTTCAATGACTGGTTTTCAGAAATAGAGAACCAGACTTCCTCTGAAGAAATTCTCTGGGTGGATTCAAACTTTCAACCTTTAAGTTAACAGCCTAGCATTGTAACCATTTGCACTACACTGAGGGATGCCAAGAAATTGTTGCATATTCTTAAATATACTCTTAAAATTGCTAAAAAATCTGGAGACCTTCAGTTATAGAGAAGGGTAAAATGGAAACATCCTCTGGAAAGTTATCTTCTATCTACACTAGGTTATTAATGACCATAATCCCTTCCTGAAGGTTTTAGAAAGGGGAGAGAAAGGACTCTACGAAGTAAATGAAACTGTAGCAGAAGGGGAAGATTACAGAATGATCAAAATAAAGGCTACTGCCTAGTTTTGCTCAAGACTAGTTCTCCAACCTGCAAACAAAGAATTTAACTATTGAGGCTGTGAAGTGTGTAGAACTACTAGACCCTAGGGCCTCTCATCCAATTGGTTAATTTAATACATCTTCAGTCCCTACACAGCAGAGAAGGGAATCTGAGAATGCCATCTTTGAACTGTTGGAGGTGGTGGGTGGGGTGTTAGAGTACTCCCTCCCTTGTTCTGCCTCAACTTGTTCTTCTTGGCCTTTTTGTCCTTTCCCAAGAGAAATTCTGCTAGTAAACCCTTTACAAGATCTGTGTCTCATCTTCTGACTCAGAAGGTTTATATGGAGTCTTTAACAGGAGAAAACAGTAAAATTTGATTTCCCTGGACCTCCCAGGCTAGAAGGCCTAGAAGGCCACTTGTGAAAAAGGATCTCCAAACAGCCCCTTCTCAGTCTCAGCTAGTGCTGCTGGGTGAAGGGATGTTTTTCCTCCTCCTCCTTCCACTTTCCAGAAGAGTGAGAAAATTTGCTATCTTCTCCCACTTTTTCCAATTCCTCTTAATTCTCCTGTTCTGTCAGATGTCTCTGGGTGAGTTCATATCTTTAATTTCTTCAGTGTCCTCAACTAACACTTTGATTAGTCAGTGAATGAGCCTCCCACTTCTGTTTATTTATTCATTTATTATTTATTCATTCAGAATTTGTACCCTGCACACCAATTTCCATTGCAGCATTTTTCAAACAGCCAAAAGGTGGAAACAACCAAAATGCCCATCCATAGATGAATGGATAAGCAACATGTGGCCGACGTATACACTGGAATATTACCAAGATATAAAGAGGAATGATGTCCTGAGGCATGCCACAGCATGGATAAACCCATGAGTGATGAAAATCAGCTGCCAAAGGACAACTATTATAGAAAGAGAATCCAAAGATTAATAGTGACTAGCGTAGTGGTTACGAATCGGGCTGAGAACCTTAAGGTTAGTAGTTCGAAACTACCAGTTGTTCCATGGGAGAAAGATGAGGCTGTCTGCTCCTGTAAAGATTTATAGCCTTGGAAACCCTGTACAGGATCGTTATGAGTTGGAACTGACTACACAGCACATAACCACCACCACCACCACTAGGGGTGGCTCCATATTATAAGTACTGGACTGTGAAACGTAAGGTCTGTGGTTCGAGCCTACCAGTCACTCTGGGGAGGAAGATGAGGATTTCTGGTCCCACGAAGATGTAAAATCTTGGAAACCCCATACAGGGTTGCTATGAGTAGGACCCTACTCTGCAGCACTTAACAACAACAACACATGTGGGAGAGGGGAAGAAGAGGCTTTGCTTAGGGGTCATTGACTTTATCACGATGGTAGAATAATTTGAAAAAGAATAACAACAAAGGTTGCACAACATGAGGAATGTAAGCAATGTCATGGAACTGTGCATTTGAAAATTATTGAATTGAAGGTTTTGTTGTGCATATTTTCATCACAATAAAACAAAATCATAACAAAATTTTTTTATCATTTCCATTCCCCATAGAATTGAGGAAGGGGAAATTATTTCTCCAATAGACTTCAAAACACTACTTTTGATGCACTGGGGAAGAAAAGGAGAAGTGAGGTAATGGAGGGGGAACACCAAAAGCAAGAACAGGTGAGTTTCACTTCCTTACTTCAAGTGTTGCAAGTAGAACGGTGAGTCAAAATTTGTCTGTATGCTGGCTATAGAATTTAATCAAATTTTAGAAAAGACAAATATATTATTTTTCAACATAATCGCCTTGCTTTTCAATATCCTTTGTCCATCTGTCAATAAGCATTCGTATTCCCTTTTTAAAAAATGTTTTAAGCTGAGCTGTGAGGCACAAATGCATTGCTGTCTTCACTTCTTCATCAGAGGTGAAGGGTTGCTTTCAGGGGACCAAAAAGGTGAAAGTCTGATGGGGCTAGATCCGGACTACACAGAGGATGCTTTAACACCTCAAAATGAAATTTTTGCAGAGTGTCAACAGTGTGGGCAGAGGTGTGCAGACATTCATTATCATGCAAGATCACAATGCACTTGGATAGCAGTCCTCTGTGTTTAATCCGAAATTTAGACTTCAGCGCTTCATTGAGTATCTGACTGTAATGAGCACTGTTGATTGTTGAACCTTTTTACCCAATAGAGTTCCAATACTGACCCTTACAGAAAACTGTAAGCATCACTTTTCCAGTAGATGGTTGACTTTTGAACTTTCTCTTTGTCAGTGATTGAGGATGTTTCCTGCTGTTTACTCTCAGTCTCGTTGTGGTGAATCCATGTCTTGTCACCAGTAATGATTTTTTTTAAAGAAATGTTTATCTTCCTTCAAGTATCAGTCCAAATTTTGGTCACAGATGTCCAAATGCTTCTGTTTAGGCTCTTCTGTGAGTTGTTCAGTACTCATCTTACACAAACTTTTAAAATCCAAGTCTGTTGTTGTTGTTGTCAGGGGCCATCGAGTCGGAACCGACTCATAGCAACCCCATGCACAGCAGAACGAAACAATGTCCAATCCTATCGCTACCACACTATCGCTACCACACTTGAGTCCATCAACAATGCCACCTGGCCAATCCATCTCGTTAGGGGTCTTCCTCTTTTTCTCTGACCCTACATCTTACCCAACATGACATCCTTCTCCAGCGACTATTCCCTCCTGACAATATGTCCAAAGTATGAGAGATGAAGCTTAGCCATCCTGGCCTCCAAGGAGCACTCTGGTTGCACTTCTTCCAAAACAGATCTATTGGTTCTTTTGGCAGTCCATGGCACTTTTAGTATTCTCCTCCAACACCACAACTCAAAGGCATCAATTCTTCTACGATCTTCCTTATTCACTGTCCAGCTTTCGCATCCATATGAGGTTATTGAAAATACCATGGCTTGGGTCAGGAGCACCTTAGTCCTCAAGCTGACATCTCTGCTCTTCAATACTTAAAAAAGTTCCTGTGCAGCAGATTTGCCCAGTGCAATACGTTGTCTGATCTCTTGACTGCTGCTTCCGTGAGTGTTGATAGTTGATCCAAGAAGAATGAAGTCCTTGACAATTTCAATCTTTTCTCCATTGATAAGAAATCCAAGTCTACTTTAGATTATTTCA